TACGGATGCCGCTCCGATGATGGTGAAGCGGCGGTGGCATGGCGAGGAAGTCGACCTCCTCGCTCGCACCGAGGCCAGGTTGCTCGCTGAGCGGGGTCAGTGCTCGGGTGGAGACCTCTTTGGCGCGCTTCCAGGGTTTGGAAGAACTCTGGAAGCGANGCTCGCACCGAGGCCAGGTTGCTCGCTGAGCGGGGTCAGTGCTCGGGTGGAGACCTCTTTGGCGCGCTTCCAGGGTTTGGAAGAACTCTGGAAGCGATTAAGGGACAACGGCGGAGGGAGCCTTATCGGGCATTGGTGCAAGCGCACCTTGCCCGATCTGGTTCCCAGCCGGGTCCCTCGTCAGGGGGGTGCTCGGCCGAGCCTGACTTCCGGCGTGCTTCTGGAGCTGAGGAAGCGGGCGAGGAACGATGCGCCGAAGACGCCGCTGCCTATGATCCATCCGCAGTCGGTCAGATGTCGCCCGATGCCGCTCGGGTTCTCTCCGAACTCCTTGAGGGTGCGGGGAGAAGACGAGCGTGCAGGGCTATGAGACCCAAGAATGCAGGGCGGCGAAACGATTTGCACGATGATCGGACAGCTAGTGCCCACAAAACCAAAAGACAAAAGCGCAGAGCAGAGTAAGCGCGTGTGCAGGAACTGTACAAGAAGTGTCGCAGCAGAGCAGCAGCTGAGGTGATCGATGGCGCGTGTGGGGGGTCGGACACTCGCTCGAGGAGATGGAGACCTATTGGCGACCTATCCTCGAGAGGGTGTCCGAGGCACCTGGGCCTACACCGGAAGCTCTTCACGCCCTAGGGCGTGCGGAGCGGCACGGGGGCAATCGCGACTAGACCCAGCTGTGGAAGCCGATCTCGGTGGAAGAGATCAAGGCCTCCCGCTTTGACTGGCGAACTTCACCGGGCCCGGACGGTATACGTCCGGGTCAGTGGCGTGCGGTTCCTGTGCACTTGAAGGCGGAAACGTTCAATGCATGGATGGCACGAGGCGAAATACCCGAAATTCTACGGCAGTGCCGAACCGTCTTTGTGCCTAAGGTGGAGAGACCAGGTGGACCGGGGGAATATCGACCGATCTCGATCGCGTCGATTCCCCTGAGACACTTTCACTCCATCTTGGCCCGGAGGCTGTTGGCTTGCTGCCCCCCTGACGCACGACAGCGTGGATTTATCTGCGCCGACGGTACTCTGAAGAATTCCGCAGTACTGGACGCGGTGCTTGGGGATAGCAGGAAGAAGCTGCGGGAATGTCACGTGGCGGTGCTAGACTTCGCCAAGGCATTCGACACTGTGTCTCACGAGGCACTTGTCGAATTGCTGAGGTTGAGGGGCATGCCCGAACAGTTCTGCGGCTACATTGCTCACCTATACGATACGGCGTCCACCACCTTAGCCGTGAACAATGAAATGAGCAGCCCTGTGAAAGTGGGACGAGGGGTTCGTCAAGGGGACCCTCTGTCGCCAATACTCTTCAACGTGGTGATGGACCTCATCCTAGCTTCCCTGCCGGAGATGGTCGGGTATAGGTTGGAGATGGAACTCGTGTCCGCTCTGGCCTATGCTGACGACCTAGTCCTGCTCGCGGGGTCGAAGGTAGGGATGCAGGAGTCCATCTCTGCTGTGGACTGTGTCGGTAGGCAGATGGGCCTTCGCCTGAATTGCAGGAAAAGCGCGGTTCTGTCTATGATACCAGATGGCCACCGCAAGAAGCATCACTACCTGACTGAGCGAACCTTCAATATTGGAGGTAAGCCGCTCCGGCAGGTGAGTTGTGTTGAGCGGTGGCGATATCTTGGTGTCGATTTTGAGGCCTCTGGATGCGTGACATTAGAGCATAGTATCAGTAGTGCTCTGAATAACATCTCAAGGGCACCTCTCAAACCCCAACAGAGGTTGGAGATTTTGAGAGCTCATCTGATTCCGAGATTCCAGCACGGTTTCGTGCTTGGAAACATCTCGGATGACAGATTGAGAATGCTCGATGTCCAAATCCGGAAAGCAGTCGGACAGTGGCTTAGGCTACCGGCGGCTTAGCAATCCCATCGGTGCGAGCGACCATCCCGGACCTCATTGTGAGGCGTTTCGGGGGGCTCGACTCGTCACCATGGTCAGTGGCAAGAGCCGCCGCCAAATCTGATAAGATTCGTAAGAAACTGCGGTGGGCCTGGAAAGAGCTCCGCAGGTTCAGCCGTGTTGACTCCACAACGCAACGACCATCAGTGCGCTTGTTTTGGCGAGAAAATCTGCACGCATCTGTTGATGGACGCGAACTTCGCGAATCCACTCGCACCCCGACATCCACAAAGTGGATTAGGGAGCGATGCGCGCAGATAACCGGACGAGACTTCGTGCAGTTCGTGCACACTCATATCAACGCCCTCCCATCCCGCATTCGCGGATCGAGAGGGCGTAGAGGTGGGGGTGAGTCTTCGTTGACCTGCCGTGCTGGTTGCAAGGTTAGGGAGACGACGGCTCACATCCTACAACAGTGTCACAGAATACACGGCGGCCGGATTCTACGACACAACAAGATTGTATCTTTCGTGGCGAAAGCTATGGAAGAGAACAAGTGGACGGTTGAACTGGAGCCTAGGCTACGAACATCGGTTGGTCTCCGTAAGCCGGATATTATCGCCTCCAGGGATGGTGTCGGAGTGATCGTGGACGTGCAGGTGGTCTCGGGCCAGCGATCGCTTGAAGAGCTCCACCGTGAGAAACGTAATAAATACGGGAATCACGGGGAGCTGGTTTGATTGGTCGCAGGTAGACTAAGACTTCCGAAAGCTGAGTGCGTGCGAGCCACTTCGTGTACTGTATCTTGGAGGGGAGTTTGGAGCCTGGCTTCTTACAAGGAGTTAAGGTCCATAATCGGGCTTCGGGAACCGACACTACAGATCGTTCCGATATTGGCGTTGAGAGGATCGCACATGAACTGGACCAGGTTCAATCAGATGACGTCCGTCATGGGGGGCGGCGTTGGTTGAGCCTCGCACAGTAGTCCAGCGGTAAGGGTGTAGATCAGGCCCGTCTGTTTCTCCCCCGGAGCTCGCTCCCTTGGCTTCCCTTATATTTAACATCAGAAACAGACATTAAACATCTACTGATCCAATTTCGCCGGCGTACGGCCACGATCGAGAGGGTGGGAATCTCGGGGGTCTTCCGATCCTAATCCATGATGATTACGACTACAGTCACTAAAGACGATGGCATGATGATCCGGCGATGAAAATAGCCAAATGCCTCGTCATCTAATTAGGACGCGCATGAATGGATTAACGAGATTCCCACTGTCCCTATCTATTCCGTCGTCGGCCTAGGTCGAGGACAGACGTGTGAATTGTTTTCCTTTATATCTTTATTTTTCGTTAATTTTAAGTGTATCGCGTTTCTTTTAGTGTATCGGACCCTCTCGCTTCTGCTTGAGGTTTAAACCATAAGACACTGCGGCCATATTGCTGTGAGAGCAGTGTGGCGAGTGTGAAGGCGGAGCTTCGCTCGGCGCGGAGTCGGCCCCTCTCGCTTCTTCTTGGGCGCCGGTCCATATAAGTCGGCGTCCATATTGGATTGCGAGTGAGACGGCCGATTCGCGTGTGGGCGGACCCGCCATTCACGACTGTGACAGTGACACTAGTGTGCGATAGTGACGTTTTACGATTTGCTTTGGGCGGTAGCCGCCATTAAGAAACTGTGATAGTGACACTTGAGAGTGCGACAGTGACGTTAGTTTGTGTGTGTGTGTATTTCTTTATTTGAACTGTTTGTAAGTGTTTGTAAGTATTGTAATTTGGCATAATGTCGGAGGAGGAGCGGGGGCCCTTTTTTCCCCTCGGGTTTCTTTGGCGCGCTCGCCGCCTCGGGGACTGGCTGCACCTCCAGAGGCGCCTATGCCGCAGCCGGCCCCCCGGGGGGCTAAAGCGGGGGCAGCTGTGAGTGCCAAAGGCTGGAGGACCGGCCTGCATATTCCAGTTACTCCTGGACTGTCGTCCTCGGCGCCCGTCACCCCGGTTGACCCAGTGGCTGGTGTCCCTGACTTCCACACTCCTGTAGCGTCAGGGGCTCCGACGGGACCCCTTGATGTAGCAGCGCAGGGGAGGCTGGAGCTGCTCGAGCGGGCAAACCGAGCGGTGCGTGGGATAATATCGGTGGCGACGGCGGCATCCAAACTTAACAAGTCGGAGGTCAATGTGATCTCCGAATTTGGTCGCGATATCCTTGCCGTAGTTGGGGCCCTCGGGATCCAGCTCTCAGAAAAGGAGCTGGTGGTCGAGAGGCTCCGCTCGGCAGAGGCCTCTGCACGGCGTAACTCCGTAACCTTCGATAGCTGCTGGTGCGGCGGCCGGGTCTGGGAATGGGCCTGCGATTTTTGCCACTGTCCTCAGGACGGGCCCTGGTGGGGTCCCGAGGTCCATTGGGACCTCTCAGGGGCCTTCTTTGACATTTTACCCGTCCGAGGGCAATGCAGAACTAAAGACAGCGGAGGATACGAAGAAGGAGGTGAAAAAGGCCATCGACCCCAAGTCGATGGCAATTGGAATACGGAGTGTAAGGAAGGTCGGGAATGCGGGGGTAGTGGTGCAGACCACGTTCCCCGCGGTTGCAGTTAAGCTGAGGAATGCGGCCCCGCCATCACTTAGAGTCACCGAACCCAGGCGCCGACAGCCCTTAGTGGCTGTTAATGGTGTGGAGGGTGACCCCTCTTTCGAGGAGGTAATTGAGTGCCTGGTCAGCCAGAACCTAGACCCGGAGGAGTGGCCCCTCACTAAGATTCGAAAGGAGTGCACGGGGGCGTACCCGAAAAAAAAAAAGATAAAAAAAGGTCCTTAACGGACCCTAGGGCGTATCGCCCAGTCATCCTGTTGCCGGTCCTGCCGGTTTACACGTTACAGCAGCCCTGATGAACGGTCCGTGAGGACCGTCAAGCATAGCGTGTACCTTCGGGTGGGGCCTTGCGATACCTGCGGGCGAACCCTGCGGTCGGGTTTGCAGCCCGGCCGCGGCGGGTATAACCTGTTGCAAAAAAGTTTATTGGAAAGAATAATAAGCCTGAAGCCTCTGGCCTCCCACTAGAGCAGATCCTGTGGGTCAGGATGCGCCTGGTTGGACCTGCCAGTTTTGTGGTCGATCTTTCTCGACCAGCAGGGGCTTGGGTGTTCGTTCACAAGCGTAGAGCCCACCCTGTTGAGATCAATACGGATGCCGCTCCGATGATGGTGAGGCAGCGGTGGCATGGCGAGGAAATCGACCTCCTCGCTCGCACCGAGTCCAGGTTGATCGCTCAAAGAGGTCAGTGCTCGGGTGGAGACCTTTTTGGCGCGCTTCCGGGGTTCGGAAGAACCCTGGAAGCAATTAAGGGACAACGGCGAAGGGAGCCTTATAGGGCATTGGTGCAAGCGCACCTTGCCCGATTTGGTTCCCAGCCGGGTCCCTCGTCAGATGGGTGCTCGGCCGAGCCTGACTTCCGGCGGGCTTCTGGAGCTGAGGTAGCGGGCGTGGAACGATGCGCCGAAGACGCCGCGGCCTATGATCCATCCGCAATCGGTCAGATGTCGCTCGATGCCGCTCGGGTTCTTTCGGAGAGAAGACGAGCGCGCAGGGTTATGAGACCCAGGACTGCAGGGCGGCGAAACGATTTGAACGATGATCTGGCTGCTAGTGCCCACAAAGCCAAAAAACAGAAGCGCAGAGCGGAGTACGCGCGTGTGCAGGAGCTGTACAAGTGTCGCAGCAGAGCAGCAGCTGAAGTGATCGATGGCGCGTGTAGGGGTGTCGGACACTCGCTCGAGGGGATGAGAGGCCTTGGCGACCTCTCCTCGAGAGGGTGTCCGACGCACCTGGGCCTACATCGGAAGCTCTTCACGTCTTATGGCGTGCGGAGCAGCACGGGGGCAATCGCGACTACACTCAGCTGTGGAGGCCGATCTCAGTGGAAGAGATCAAGGCTTCCCCCGCTTTGACTTGCGGACTTCACCGGGCCCGGACGGTATACGTCCGGGTCAGTGGCGTGCGGATAGTAATACTGCTCAGTACGAGAGGAACCGCAAATTCAGAAATTTGGTTCATGCACTCAGCCGAGCGGCCGGTGGTGCGAAGATACCATCCGCGGGATTAGGCCTGAACCCCTCTAAGGCCGAAGCCAGCCTAGCCGAATCCGGCAAAGATATGCTTACTGTGGAGCCCCGAGAGTCGGGAGGCTCTAAACAATGTGACTTTACTAGTGGCGTTTCGCATTCAAAACGCGAGACGCGACGTCGAAGCCCATTTGGATCGCGGAGATCGATACTATCGGTTTTTTTCTTAACACGTGCATCACGGCTCCGAAGGTCCGGATATAACTCAGTTCGATGNAGCCTAGCCGAATCCGGCAAAGATATGCTTACTGTGGAGCCCCGAGAGTCGGGAGGCTCTAAACAATGTGACTTTACTAGTGGCGTTTCGCATTCAAAACGCGAGACGCGACGTCGAAGCCCATTTGGATCGCGGAGATCGATACTATCGGTTTTTTTCTTAACACGTGCATCACGGCTCCGAAGGTCCGGATATAACTCAGTTCGATGTCGGGGCTCGGAATAGTCTGTAGACGACTTCCGTTCCTGGTGGGGTGTTGAGCTCGGTAGAGCAGCGTCGTGCTGCGATCTGTTGAGACTCAGCCCTGCGCCAGGTGATTCGTTCGAGGACGATGAACTTTACTGTTTGCTAACTCAGTCTGACGACTGACTGAGTGCGTGAGTTATTAGTTAGCGTCCGTCTGTTGTACATGTATTCTGTGTGTTGTGTCTTGACATACAACCCACACTTACTTAATAAATTAATTCAATTTCCGAACTAATGAATGATGTTCGTAATAAAAATGTGTATGAAACAAAAACAGGTTAAAATTATTAAAAAAAAATACACATATTATAATAAAATATTATTCACGAGATCAATGGTTTGTTGAATTTTAATACGCGAACTGCCACCCTCTAGGATTTGTACGTCGTTCTTTTTAACACAGGAACTTACATAATTTACAATAATAACATTCTTAATAGTGTTTTGTTATCAAAGTTAAGGTAATTTACGTTCTATGAAGCAATTTAGTCTTAAAATCACTGTTGGCAAAGGACATGGGCCATTTTCGGCCCAGCTACTCGTGTTCTCAAGGACACGAATGAAATATCTATAGAAAAAAACATTTCGTTTTTACATACTTATTATAAAATTTAAGGGTATTTTAATGGTGGTTGTAAGGTCCCCAGTGCCGGGCGGCACTATAAGCCGTCCGTAATTGAATGGACAGTTTATTTCCAATCACAGACAGTACAACAATATTTAGAAGAAAGAGAAATTACGGAGTACAGAAGGCACAGATAAAGCGGTAGCAAGTTCAAACACAATAATACAAAATAGATGATAGCAATAGATCGCAACAAATCAAGAGAGTACGCGTAAGTCGAGGAGTGACACAGTCTCAGCGTGGCGTTGATCAAACCCGACTGACTGCGAGCGGCGCGGCGGCCGATTCATGTCGCAGGCGACGACCAGTACGTACGTAGTTATGTACATAGACGAGGTCTTTGCTGCATACTAGCGGTTACGCCCGACTATGCTTGTGTAAATAATATAATTTACAGTAGTGTTGTGAATGTATGATTGTTTGGCGTATTTGTGTACTGTATGACAGTGTGTTATAGAATACGTAATCAAATATGATATAATATTAAATGTTGCGTAGGTGTACAATGTAAATTAATAAATAATATGACAATCATACATAAATATAGTAGAAACACCAACAGGGGTAATTAAAATCATAAATAAAAAGAAATTAGCATGACTAAGCTACATTGATAATATATATTGATAATATTGAAGGAGTTGCCATAGGTAAAATATATTTATATTTGAAACAATTCACATTAAATCTTCTTAAAAGACATTATATTGCAAAAAAACTAGCAAAATATATTAACATATTTAATTAATGGATTTTAAAACTAATATAAAAAATTATATCAAAACAAAAGTTTATTTTTATACTTTTAAATCCGCAGAATAAATCATTACATTGATCAATAATTATTGTTCTTATGAAAAGAAAAAAAAAACTACGCTTGTTTAATATCTACATTTGATCAGTCGTTTTCGCACTGTGCGCATTGTAGATATTATGTTTCGTTGCGATATACCTGCTTATTATATTTTGTTGTGCATAAAAAGAAGTTTTGGCGTTCATTGAATTAGGTCTATGTTATAAAGTAAATATAAATAATATTTAAGCTGATGATAATGTTAAATGTAAATAAAAGGGATATATAGTCTGTTATTTAAAGCTAATTTCATTACTGCAATGTATGGAGAGTGGCCCATGTCCTTTACCAACCGAATACAAAGTTTTAGTGATGTGAACTTTGTCGTGTTTTCTTTGAGGCTGTCAAAGGCTAGCTTCTAGGGCTGTCACAAAAATATTAAAAAAAATATCTAATTTTAATGTTACCTAATTTTAGATCCAAAGTATCATAATTTTATTATTTATATGAATTAGTAAAGATTTATGGATGGATAGGTATTTGTTACTCTTTCAAGCAAAGTCTACTGAGTGGATTTTGCTCAAACATAGATAAACATATCCTATATATTATCTTGAATCAAAAAATAGTATCACATTAAGAGTTACGAACTTAAGAACGCTATCCCGGCAAAATCATGTGAATCATAAAATATAAAATGTAATTATTTTAGAAAATGGGCGGTAGCCGTTCTAGACGGTATGGTAAAATATCCGGAATGTACGATGGATACTTCCAAAGGAAATATTTCTATAATGTTTGCTGCGACGGCGGATGGTACTCTGTTAACTACATATAATGACGTTTACAAGACTGAGAATTTATGTACTACGTGGTGCGAAAATGGGCCTGACAATACGCGATATAATAGGAGTAAATCTGGTTGGTTCGACTCGACAGTTTTCCAAGACTGGTTTAAATCATACCATGGGCAAACAAACCGAATGGTCCAAGGTTGGATTATAGGCGACAATCTTTCAAGCCATCTTAATGTTGATATAGTACGTGAATGCGAAGAACATGTAGGTACCCTGTGTGTTGAACAACTTTTTTAGCTGCCATAACGTGGCAAAGTTGCTAGGTTTCACGGTAACTAATAATTAAAAAGCGTTGAGGAGGTCTAATAATACGTCCGGAACGTGTTGTTTTAGGTAATTGACTAATATCTTTTCCTTTTTCAGGTATCACGGTGTTTTTACTTATTAAAAAAAAAGTAAACATTTGAGAAAAAACAAAAAAAAAAAAGCCCGCTAAGTTTGTTTTGCCGGTTCTTTTCAGGACTGTGGCTTTTTTTTGGAACCGATGGTAGAGTTAAGGTTGTTAATTAAGTTTTGACATTCAACAAGTTTGATAAACTGACATCTAAGTTGAAATAAATGATTTTGAATTTGAACTTTGTAGACTGGAACTACAGGTTTTAGTATGTGCTCCCGATTTCTCCTGAATGTTCCTTCAGGGGACTGAATAGAGTAACTACGAGGTTCGTTTTCTGCTTGTTTTATACTACCTGGAACCCATGAACTATTGGGCTTGTGTTTGAAATATATTTTATCACCCACTTGTAAATCTGACAACTGTTCGTTTATTATAATAAAATGTTGATTATTTTTTCTGCTTTTCAATATTTTTAGATAATGTTTTAATATCGACTAGTGATTGTCTGCGACTGGTACTTTAGTTACTTAAACATCTAGACATAATAGTTGTGCTGGAGAATAACCACTTTGTTTTGGTGTATTCCTGTACATAAGCATTGCAATATAAGGCTCTGTATTGTCTGCTTTACATTTATTCAATATATGCTTGACTGTGCCAATTGTCCTTTCTACCATACCATTTGAGCGACTGAAATATGGACTTGACTTTATATGCTTAATATTCCAATCAATTGTAAATAAATAAAACTATGAAATACGTACTCAACAAATGTTTACGATTGATTTCCACGGTTAAGGAATAGCATCGTGTAATAAAAATGAAACCCGCAAAATTATAATTTGCGTAATTACTGGTGGTAGGACCTCTTGTGAGTCCGCGCGGGTGGGTACCACCACCCTGCCTATTTCTGCCGTGAAGCAGTAATGCGTTTCGGTTTGAAGGGTAGGGCAGCCGTTGTAACTATACTTGAGACCTTAGAACTTTATATCTCAAGGTGGGTGGCGCATTTACGTTGTGGATGTCTATGGGCTCCAGTAACCACTTAACACCAGGTGGGCTGTGAGCTCGTCCACACATCTAAGCAATAATTTTTTTTTAAAAAAAAATTGTCTTTTAAAGAAAAATAAGGCTTAATTGACTGATTAACTGACTTTTTATGTTCAGGCCATCCATTTTGACAATAAAATACAATTTGAGGCAATGTTGACTCTTGAAGTTCCTGAAGTTTTTCTTGACTTATTGAAAAATTAGATACAATTAGATTAATATGTAAATCAATATCAATATCTAAATCAAATAATGTATTATCAGGAAGAGTCGCACGGGACAAAGTATCAGCAATATATAGACATTTGCCTGATTTATATACAACATTAAGATCATTTGACTGTAAACACAACATTATTCTCTGTAGCCTAGGTGGAATATAGGTTTGTGGTCAGTTTCAACATTAATTTGTCTCCCATATACACACTGGTGGAACTTTATACATCCAAATAAAATAGATAAAGAGTTCTTTTTCTCTTTGTGCATAATTTTGTTGACTTTTAGTTAATGAGGCTGAGGCATATGCTATTGGCTGGTTATCATGTAATATGACTGCTCCCATGGCATCTTTAGATGCATCGAATGATAATGTAATTTCTTTATTGGGATCATAATATGCCAACACTGGACTATCTGTTATAAACAGCTTAATCTTATCAAATTCAGCCTGTTTTTCAGATCAAATCCAATCACTATTTTTTACAAAAGTAATCTAAGAAGACTTTTCTTTAGACAAATGAGGTATGAAAGGACTAAGATAATTGACCATACCCATAAATCTTTGTAACTCATTGACACAAGTCGGAATTGGCGTTTCACAAATTGCT